GTCACTACAAATATAAACAAAACAAAATAAAATAATTTTAAAACTTAATATTAAATTTTAAAGTAATTTTAACTAACTTATTAAAACCATCAAATCATATGAAATGTTTCATTTTTTTCCCTTCTCATGTCAATTGATGAATGAATGGCATCACGCCTTCCAAACTTTTTCTATTTTTATTTTATGTTTTTTAAGAAGCAATAATAACAATAATAATAATAATAATAATAATAATAATAATAATAATAATAATAACCTTGTTATTCAAATTTGGTATTTTATGTTTAGCCGGAAAAGCTCTTCTTGTGGGTAGAATGTGTTGGCTTTTATCCCAAACATGATTTGGTTGTTGTTTTGTGACTGAAAGGGTAAGTATTATTAAATAAAAAAATATATATATTTCTATTTGATTGACTCAAAAATAACAATCATAGCCATTGTTACCACTTCCAAATTGTTTTCCTGTTTTCTAATTATAATTTTATTGTCTTTTAATAAAAATAAAATTAATAAAGAAATCAGGATTATTTGTTATTGTGAGTAATTTAATTTTTTTCTTTTTTTTTAACTTACATTATTTTTTTTTTGTTTAGTGTCGAGAAGGAAAAAATGACCGACATCGATAAATTTTTATTAAAATCCGAGTTTTTTTTTTCACGCATCAGACATAATTTTAATAATTGCATTATTGAATTTAAAAATCGTTTTTGTTACAGCAGATCTCAAAAAGCAAGCAAACAAGATTTATTGAGGTGTGCCAAATTACGTTCAGGATGTTTCTTGAATTTGAATAGAATCAGTTTTAGAGTACTTAATTAAATTAGTAATTAATTAGTAATTAAGTTATTTTGTTATTAGCTCATTTTGGTTTGTTACCGTAGGCGCCGTCAGGTATTGGAATTTTTCAGATTTGTATTGAAAGTCTTCAGAAAAACAAACACACACACACATACACGATAATTTTTTTTGCTATTATTGTGGAGATGAATGTACTTCATTTCGTCTTTTAATACAGACAAAAAAAACAAAAAAAAATACACAAAAAAACTATATTATTAATTATTTCTGAAAGTGAAAATATATTGATTTACACTACAGAGTACACTACACACACAGTTACTGTAGTGTTGAGTGTTACACATTTCTTTATGGATGTAATTTGGGTACCTACGACAACGCTAAAATATCAGCATACCGTGTTGAAAACTACATGTTCAAAAACGTAACGAAAACATAATTTTACCGTCAAAATCTGTTATTATTAAGAAGGAGAATCAAAGTATTTTTTGAATATTTAATTAAATTTTTTACTCCTTTTTGGTACATTCGAAATTTTTATTAAAAACTTCTTTTTTTCTTGAGTCAGCAGTTGTTAACAGTTATTTTTTTAGCAAATCTTTTAGTCTCTTATTTTTTCTTGCAAAAATCTAATAACTGCTAGATTTTAATGAAATTTTCAGGACCTATTCACAAATGAATTAAATTACTCTTGAAATTTTTCTTTATTAGAAAATCTTGGTAAATTTTTTTTTACATGTGTTTCAGCCCCTTCTTACTTAATTTATAAAAACTTGAGAAATTCAACGAGATAATTTTTATTTTTTAGTGACTATAAAGCAGAATTCTTTGAAGAATTTAAATCACCGAATTATTATTATTATTATTATTATTGTTGTTGTTGTTGTTATTTTTATTTATTTATTTTTTTGCAAAATTGGACCCCCGTCTTACCGAAAATCTGTTCTGAATCGAAAAATAAAAAATGCAATAAAAATAAGACATTAGTTAATTAGAGAAGCTTTTAATTACTTTTATGAATAACATATATTAACGACAATATTGTCTGAAGAAGAACATTTTTTTTGATGAAAAATGAATTTTTAAAAGATTTGTTTAAAGTTTTTAACAATTTTAAATTCAATAATTTATAAAATTTTAAAATCTTTTAAAATTCATTTTCAACTTGGTAATTTTTAGGAAATATTGTTATTAAATAAAACTATATTTACTAATCATATATTGTAAAGCTTATTACAATCTAACAAACCTGAATATTTTTAAAAGAATTTCTATTAGTTTTTTTATGTGTGATTACTGAAGTATGGATGTACAAACCGATAAATCTATCAGTAAAAGGTCATGTGTTTTAAGGGTTGTCCTCCCTTATAAACTTTATCGTCTTCTCCACCATACTTAACTATGAAAACGTTCGACTGTCATTCAATCAATTAACACATCAGAAATCAAGACCCATAGTTAAGAAATGTTTATTTCAAATCAGATTAATTTAACTTTAAATTTGTTAATTTTCCTCAAATATTGTTTCAGAAATATATATTTTATTTTTGTAAGATTTTTAAAACTGAGAATTAACTTTGTTTACAAATGTGTCAAAATGGCTGATATTTATCGATTTTTACGGAAAAAAAATAATCAATTCTGATCAATATAATTTCTGACTCAAATACACTGCAGAGTATTTTGCTGACTGGAAATAGCAAATTTTAAATCTTTTATCTTTCAATTAAAGCTAAAATGAAAGCTTCAAGAAAGATTTTTCATATTTAAAAATTCATTTTAAACCTTACGTATCGTGAATTAGTGAAGGTACTTATTTGTAATAGTGTAGTGTTTACTTTAGAATAAAATTCAACTCTCTATGCAACCATATAACTTCTAATTTTATAGAAAACCAAAAATGTTTGGATTCGATGCAATTCATTTCCATCTCCAGGCTTCACACATATTTCTGTCCCCAGCCTCTAAATATAGCATCGTGCGGGATGTCACAGTCACATGTGTTCATGCCAAAAATTGTCCCATTAAAAAATTAAAAGAACAGGACAATTTCCATCAGGCATCAGAAGATGAACCTAAACCAATCCCCTTAACTTAAATAATAGGGAGAAGCTCTCTGTGGGTAGGTAAAAACCTCTGGAATTTAAAATTGGTTACTTTTGATTTCAGGTTTCAGTGGCTTCTTAATAACAGATATTTCTACCTGACACATATTTTTTTTTTTTTTTTGGCTTAAATTATTTAAGGTAAGTAATAAAAGGGGGATGATTTCAAAACATGAGCAAAAGAGATCCATCAGATTTTTAAACAGAAAACAATATTTTTTTTCCAACAACCTTTTTTTTCTAATTTCCCTTCTGAAGAAAAAGGTGCATTAAATTAAAAAAAAAAATTAAAAAAAGGGTCCCAGTTGCTTTTCGAGATTTCAAATTTGTATGCTGGGAGTTCAAAAAAATAAAAATAATAACATTAATTTTATAAATTACTTTTTAAAAATATTTTTATTAATTATTTTTTTATTTTTATAATGAAAAATAAATAAATAATAATAATAAATAATATATACATATAAATAATAATAAAATAAATAAAATAATAAATAATAAAATAAATAAAATAATAAATAAAATAAAAATAAATACGATAGATAAAATAATAAATAAAATAATATAAATAATAATAAAATAAATAAAAATAGTTTTTATTTTTCAATTATTTCAATTATTGTTTATTATTTTTTGTTATTAATTTTTTATTATTATTATTAATTCCCAAATTACTTCTTTTGTAGCTACACTTACTGATGTATTCAAATTCAATTGTAATCTTAGCCAGTATTTCAACAATATCAATTCTTTGAGTTAAAAGCTGAAAATTATTTTTTAAAATATATTAAAAAGTAAAAACTGTCCAGTTGAGTTATTAATAAAACAGTGATCTATGTTTTATTTTATTTATTTTTCACATAGAATAATATTTTGAACAAGTCCATGTGAAAGGCCAAGGCTGTGCTTGTAAACATGTAGATTCCTTTCATATTTTACATACATAACTCCAAAATATGTCCAGTCCTCATAAATTGTTTATGATACACATCACAACTCGGTGGGTACCAAAAGCAATCACAGAGTGTAGCAATGAATATAGATTATTTTCTTTTTCATAAAACATTAAAAAAAAAAAACGAGTATTGCAATAACTTAAATATCTTTTTGGAAGTTTTGCAATAAAAGAAAAAAAAAACAACCAAAGTGAGTCATGAAAAAATAAATATTATTTTTGCATGCTTAAAGCAAGTTTCAGACTGTTTTAATGTCAATTACTTTCATTTGGGACACATGAGGAAAAAGGACTTAGATAATTTGACACTAACATAATATAGTGAAGGCAAGAGAGTCATAAGGAAACCTACCTAACAAATTTGTGTAAATGGAGATACTGGGAAGGATGGTAATAGAACAAAAATTTCTTATAGCTACAAAGAATAAGAAGTTGTGGAGAGCTATCAATGCCTATGTCTTGAAGGTTGTTGTTTGATTTGTTTTTTACAGCTTGTGCAGTTTATTTAAAGCCAGAAAATATTTTTGGATTGTAAGAATTTTTTTTTCTTCAGGTTTAGTGATACAAGTTTTACTAATTAACCCATAAGGAGGAAAGAAGTAGTAAATTCATACCTGTAAGGGTATTTGTGTGTAAGTGAATATAATGAAACCAATGGGAATTGGAACCTTGTTCTTCTTCAATTAACAATTCCAAGCCATTATACATTGCACCACACATACATCCAGGCCTACAGCACCTGGTATTCCCAAGTAGTTATCCATCTAGTCACTGACCAGGTTCGACATTGCTTAACTTTGGTCATCATACTAGAACTGGTGTTTCAATGGGATATGAACCTAAGCCATACTGACTAGGTTCAACGTTGCTTAACTTTGGTGATCATAGGAGAACCAGTGTTTCAATGTCCATACTACCTGCACATCTAAGCTTAAAGCACCTGATATTCCCAAGCAGTCACCCATCTATGTACTGACCAGGCTCAACATTGCCTAACTTTGATCATTTGAGAACCAATGTTTTAACATTATATGTCCCTAAGCCATAATGCCCAGGCTCAAAGTTGCTTAACTTTATCAATTGTATGAGAATTGGTGTTTCAATATAATATAGCCATAAGCCATACTACCTGCACGTCCAAGCTTACAGCACCTAGTATTCTCAAGCAGTCACCCATCTATGTAATGACCAGGCTCAACATTGCTTAACTTTGGTGATCATAGAAGAACTGGTGTTTCAATGTTATGTGGCCATAAGCCTACATAAAAGAAGAGCATATTACTTGGTTTTGCTCAATAATACATTCATTGATTTATTGATTTTCCCAAACCCCATTTGTTCTTTGTTGCAGCATTTCAAATGAAAAGATTACGCTTTAACAAAATTGGAATTAATTTTCCTATTTAAATGAAAATAGTTTTATTAAAGTTACAAACTTTAAAGGAAACTTATTTTTCACTTTCTGGAAAAGATCAGAGAGCTATTTAAAATGTTGTCTTCTATTAAGGTTTAATTAGAATGTCCTTAGAAAATGTGTAATTGATGAACCCACAAATATAGACAAGAGTTATATTTTCTTATACTGACTGATTTTATAGACACTACTTGGATTATAAATAGAAACATGATTATAATCCATGTATTTTTATTATTTTTAGTGGATACTCGTATTTGAGTTGATGCTTCATTGATTTTAAACAATATTTATTTCATCTTATGCGTACTTGAGAAAACTTAAAGAAACTGTGCCCTCTAGCATTTGAACCTTTGCAGGGACCTGGAGAATTAGTTTGGCAATCATGTGAAATTACAAATGCTTGCTTATTAATTGCTGGTATATTTGTATTTAGGATTTTATTATTTGTAGTACTAGCTTTTTATTTGTATAAAGAGTAACATTTTTTTTTTCTGATTTCTTTTTCAAGAGAAATGTTTTAATGAAGACAGCCTTGGGATGATGACCAATACTGTTTCTTATTTGTACTGAGATATTTAATTAAGACAGATGTTTTTGGTTGGTTAAATTGTCCATTTTGTTGTGTGAATTGACAGAAACCAGTTTTACCTGTTCATCTGTGGCTTACAACATTGACAGGTGATTTCATAAATTATATTTCACGCCATTGTTTTTGTATTCTTTTACCTCCAAATTGTATCTAACCCCACCACCTTCTCCATGATACTGACTAATTGTAAATAACAACCATTTCAATAAGAATCCATTATAATTTTTTTTTTTTTAATTTCAAGGATACCGATATTTAAAAAAAAGATTATTATTATTATAGAACATTGACACAGATTTAGTTTCTTGAATTTGAAATTTATAGACTGTACACTAATGCAAATTTAAGTGGACTGTTCACTCATTTAAATCTAAGCAGACTGTACACACATTCATAATTTTATATGATAAATATTTGTGTTTTATTCAGTAAAAATAAATGCATCTTTATTACAAAGCCTACTGTATTTCCATTCTTCATTGTTGAGATCATAACTTCTAGCTAATGATTTTAGAGATGTAATTATAAATTTGACATTCTAAAGACTGTGGTTCAAATAGATCTATGATAATTATATTGGATAATATTACTGTGGTTGTGTTTGTTGCATAAGTTATTGACACAGAAAGTCATATTGGCAAACCATGTTTAAATTCCAGCCTAAACTGATGTGTTCACTTTTGTAATGGTGCCTTTAAGAAAAACATGAACCCACATATTCTCTTTCTAGCTATGGATTAAATAGTAGGGTAAACTGGATGTCATTCTTGTAAGACAACACTGAATTAAAACTGGAAAATGCAATGAGCCACTCCTTCATCTTTCCCTTGAAATCACAGCAATTTACAGATGAAAAAGGAAATTGTGGAGGTCTATGATCACCTATGTTCTGAAAGGACAAGTCATTAAAAAATATACGTATTACTCTATTCTATAACTTTTGAAATTCTTCAAATTTAGTTAGTGGAAGAAATCTGGTTAATAGTTAGAATATTGAAATGGAAGAAAAAAATGTTTGGAGTTGTAGACATGTAATTGCATGAAGGTTCTTTTGTATTCTTTTTTTTCTGAAAAAAGACTCTTTGAAATGGAGATGAAGATTATGGTAGGGGAGATGATGACAATCTTTAGAATTAAAGAGTTTGCTTTCCAGCCTCCATTTCTTAACTCCAAACGTGAGTCATCTGACAAATTGGAAAAAAATCATTTGAAATTTGTGTACCTTTCTTAAATTAACATCTTTAGTTATAATTCTACTCTTCTATCTCCTTTTTTATTTATTTCTTAAATTAAAAAAAAAATTGTATTTTATTTTTTATTTTCTTTTTATTAAAGTAAACTTTGCTTCTTTTTCTTTCATTTTTCACTTTTTTCTTTGTTCTTTTCTTCATTTTATTTTCTATTTTTAAATTTTATTTCATTTTGTTTATTTATGTTAAGATCTTTCTTATTAAATAGGTTTTTTGAAAATGTTTATGCAAAAAAATTGCATTAATGTAAAATTTATTTCTTTTGCAACAAAAAAGAAGTCTTATTCTATTCATTTCAAGAAGCCACTTTTTTTTAATGGATTTAAAAAGGATGAAGCAATGAACTGAAATTAGAAAAAAATATGGGAAAATATATAAGAGTGGAATTTGTCTTAATGTCAAGAGGAAAGAATGAAAATCAATGTTTAAAATAAGGGGAAGTAACTGAACACAACCAAGCCGACATTTTTTTTAAATAAATTATGAAAATATAAATTCCCACCTATTTTTTTTTCTGTGGCCTGATTGAGGAAAATTAAGAAATCATTTAATTTATTTTGAAATTTTATATAAATTTTATAATTTACTGAAGTAAGTTACACACAGCTTGTTACATTTATGGGGGGAAAATTACCTTTAAAAAGTCAGCAATTCTCAAGAAAGTGCTTCTTCATAGATAATTTGTGATGAATTACAATAATTACATCTACATGGCTTAGATTAAAATTTAGACCTCTTGGCTATTAATTCCTGTCTCTAACTTCTGACCTGCATCAAAAGTGCTAACAGCTGTTGTAGATATTTCTGGTTATAGATTTCCAAAAATACAAAACACTGAACATCAATAATCAATAAGCCATGAAAATTATTTTAAATGAATGTGTCTTGTAGAAATTTATATTTTCAACCAAGCATTGTGGATTTTTTTCAAGTGTATCAAAAAAAAAAAAAAAAAAACTGCTATGGGCACTGAAGAATTGCTTTTGAGCAATTCTTCAATGTCTATAGGATGACAAAATCCAAGTCTCATATATAAAAGTGAAAAAAGGCTCATAAGAAACAAAATTAACATTGAAAATTTAAGGAATTTTTAATTCAAATTTTATTTTAATGTCAAATTGAGACATTGATAATATCCAATATATACACTTTTTTTACTATATGTTCTATAGCTATGGGTGGCAACTGGTTTAGGAAAAGGAAACTGAATTCAAACCAGCCTGGAGAGGGCTGGGCTTCATCATGCTATCTTGCTCAAGAAACACCACTTCTACTGCGGTTATGTGACAATACATATATACAATAATATCCAATATATACACTCCACTGTTAAATTGAGACAAACACTATATTCAATATACACTTAACTTATTTTTTGCTCACAAATTTATGCTCCATTTACTTATGTACACATCATGATTATCATAAGTGATCACTCATAATTAAATTATAAATGTTCCCTTGATTGTTAAAACGAATGCATGCTCCAACACCTTACAGCTATGGCTGAATGAAAAAAGAAGTAACACTGACAATTATTCAATGCATTATTAACAGCCAAATGGCATTTACAGACACCTAAATTCATGAGGCTAGGATTTTCTACACTTTTGGGATAAGAGGCTGGGATTTTGTTTACTAGGTTTTTGTCATGAATTCGATTGAGAAAAATTGTGCTTCCCAACAGGAATAGGGCTATTTTCTTTCTAGCAGGATTGCTTGATTTTGGTCTGTTGTTATTAACATTTGTTAAGAAAATAAAATAACAAAGCAGGGATAAAAAATTTTAAATATTAATAAGAAATAATACCAGATAAAAAAAAATCAATTAAAGTTTATTATGTATCTAAGAGTAAAATAACAAACGTGTCTACTATATGAGCCATGAAATTGAAATCTACTCCGATGCAGCTGCTGTCCTTCTCTGTGCTGTTGATTGAGAAACATAAAATGTGTTTTTTCCTGTAAAGAAGTTTATTCTGACCCAGATGGACAGCCAGAAATCAGGAGCTGTGTGTGACAGAGTAGAAAATTGACCTACATTTTAACCTTTTTTTGGCATTAAATTTTTCTTTATTTTTAATTGTATTTTTTTTACTTCTTTTTGTAACGTACCCACAATAAGACAGTAATACCTAGTGGAAAGTGACTGTGGCCCTATATGCACCAGGGGAGCCTACAAATTATTAATGCCTAGCAAAACACATAATCCAGTAAATTACTGGCGGTTAAGGCATTTAAAGGTGAGCAGATTTTCATAAACAAAGTGCTCAATATTAAAAAAAATAGAGCAAATATAATTTTTTTTAATCATTTCACCCCAAGCAAGGTGATAATACCACTAAAATGTAGGGGGTGTTATAGGGAAGATTGAGGAAAGGACAAAAAAAAAAAGAACAGGGTTTAAGAAGACAGAATGGCAACTGACATTGGATTTAAATTTTTGATGATTGTAGTTATCAGGGAAGCAAGAAATCAGAAGGGAGTTTCATAAGTGAGAAATGCAAAAGAAATTGCTAAGATTAGAACTGACAGTTGCATTTTGTTATTTCAATAGTAAAACTGTGAGACCTAATTGCCAATCTAGTAGCATACTTAAATTCATGTAGTCGAGGCACCAGGGGGACAAAAGCTCATCAGAGCAGTTGCCATGAAAATATTTGCAGAAAATCCTGAGGGAAGCCACATCATGTCGATGAGAAACTGACTGAAGCCGAAATGCCTGGTCAGGATCGATTACATAACATACCCTTCTTTGGATTTTGTCAAGAATCGTGGAGCACCAGACCAGATATGGTAACAGTATTCAATAAAGATAAGTTAAAAAACTTATCTATGCAACCTCAAGTTTGACAAATACACCACTAGTCAGTATCAAATAATGTTATTGATTGATTTGTTTGTTACAGTTTATCAACCCTTTGTAGGTTATTTGAAACTGAAACATATTTTGCATTGTACGAATTTCTTTTTTTTTTTTTGTCAGTGAATATTGC